AACATCATGATTCAGACTGAAGAAAATGACAATTAAAAAAATAACCTTTTTTAAATCTCCTGAAGAATCATTTGTTTTTCCTGACATAGGCATCTCTTGTAACACAATGGGATGTGTTACCACAAGCTTCTAGAAACTAGATGTCACAGAAACAGTGATTAGAAGAAATGAAGTCAAAGGGTTCCATCGGCATCCCTGAAGACTGATTTTTGCAGCAGCTATAGGTGATAAGCATCAGAATTCAATACAAAATTTATCAAAGAAAGAGACAGCCTAGATTATTTCCATGTTTTCCCTAAGAACTCCAGTACAGGTCTCTCCCAATCACCAAAACGCAATTTTTATTCTTCCTTCTTCCTAAGACTTTTCCTGTGTAGACGTTTGAAACCAAATACACTACATATTTCAATCAGTCTACTCTCTGTTTCCTTTGGTTCTTTCTAAAAGGCTGCTGTAGTTTACTCCTGATACACTACAGCAAAATCAAAAAGCTAAGTAACAATAAGCCTCACTGATAACAATGTGGATTGGAATTTGTAAAAGGTAGGTCTTTGCCCACTCACGTTCTCTTTTTTCTCCTCACTATTCTCTTTCATTCATTTTGATAGCCTCTACTCCCTGTTAAGTTTCTGTTACCATTCTCTCCTGATGAACACGTCATCCTTGTTTAAGGGGACTTCCTTACCTCCTCTGGGTCATGTTTAGGCGAAATCCTGACTACGTCTGAAGAAAGATCCCCTGATGTACTGAGACACTGAGCTCCGTGACACCATGATGTTCTCCCAAAATCATAGTATTGTATATAAAATGAAAACTGCTACTTTTACTCCCAGCTGATCTGTTACTAGCAGACCACTGCTCCTCTTAAATCTCAAATTGACATTGGTCTTGAAAACACTTAACTTGTCAAATTCCAGAGCTGCAAGGGCCAAATTGAATACAAGTATTTATAAATTGGGATCTTTGGGTTTTAGGCTGAAACTTTAAGCATACAGCTTTAAGAATAAACGTACCCTCTCAAAATTTCTGTTCATAAAAGGCAACAGTGATCATGGTATTTAGTTAACATAGACACAGAGAAGCCAGGCTACACATTTTTGGCTTCATTTAGGTATCAGTCCTCAGTCCTACATGTCCCCTTGTTAAAAGCCAGAGAAATACGGCATAGAACAGAGATAAGGTTGCCCTGTCTCAACTGCTACACTTCCAAACATGAATTTTAACACTATTTAGCTCCCTAAAACCAAGGTAATGAAGAACTAAAATAAATACAAGAATGGAGCACACTGCGAATTTGAAGCATGACAATAATGCTGGCCAAATATACTGAGAATAGTTCAAAGTGATACTACAGTACACTTGGAAATTTTTAATTATATGACATTATTTTACTGTGATCTAAAATTTAATTCCATGATTTTTCTGTATACATGTTAACAGCTGTCACTGTACCATTTACAGTCATTCTGAGGGGTGCAAGTTGACATATATCTTACTATAAACATATGGTGCATTCTGAAAAACTAAATAATACCTTATTTTAGTACTAACCTGCATTTTTGTGTTAGTGTGGCCATCCTAACACATAAATTCTCAGCAGTATTAATAGTGCACATAAGTCTTTGGGACTTAATGTGGAATTTGTGAATGCAATATTTCAGAAGGAATATTCTGACAAAGCCAGAAAACTTTGTAACTCTTAGCTAGCAAAATAGGTTGAGCGTTTAAGAATAAGGTCAGCTGAAAATATCTCTAGTTCACTAGACCTGACTAAAACGTGAGGTTTGCCTGAGCAAAGGTGTTCATCAGCGGGGTTTGTATTCACATTTCCCCATCTGCAATGTCGCATCTCTAACAGCAGAGTATGCTGAGTCGCTGTGGAGGATGAGATGGGGAACATGCTGGAAACCTTGTAACTCACATGATGGACAGTGACTACAGAAACTCCACCGTTCACCTTCAGAAGACACAACTACATTCAAGATCAAAACGAGCAATGTTGAATTCCAAAGCACCTCATCTAGCTGTCAGGTTGTTTGAGGGCCTTTTTTGGAGCGGGGGGGTTGTTTGTTTCAGAAGTGGGGGGAATGTTTTGTTTTTAAATGGGACTGATGCTTTGTGTAATCATTTGATTTGAAGCTCTGCTAGGAAAATTTACACAAATCTAACTTACACAACCTAAAAGGAATTTATCCTTTCTTGCCAGTTACAAGTTTTGAATACATTTACCTCTCTTGGTGATAAAATTCTGTTGTTCATTTCTTGCCAAGCCAAACATCCTTGGGTGCCCATTTTCGTAATTAAGCTTCTAAAATTAACCTAAAAACTGCTGTGCTTTTTAATCTTTGTAGTAGGACCATTGCTAATGACTTCTTGCAGCTGAAGCCCTGCTTGCACTCATACTGATAACATTATCTTAATTTGTCCCTGACATTAGAATAGTATCACGTAGTAACTAACTCCTCTCTGTCATTCCCAGTGCATTTAAAAAACAAACAAACAAAAAACCAAACAAGCTTTAAAGCATTTACAGCCCTGCTCAAAAGCAGACTTTTCCCAAACCTTCACAACCCTCTGGAAACCCCCTGATCATTTTTCCTGTTTGCCAAGTGGCATTCTTCACGTTAAGTCCAGACACATCACTACAAATGAGCATTTCCTCCCATTCCACCCCAAAAATGTTTCACCAAAATAATTATGACTTTCAAAAAGTGTTATTTTGCTAGGACAGTATACGCATATCCCAAACTGAGGGAAGGAGACTGTACACTTCTTACCTCACATTTAGTTTTCAAAGAGAAAGTAACAGGAGTGAATGGCAGGTTAGACACAAAGTGAGAACAGAGACATGTAAAGACACGAGGGTAAATAGTCACAGAATCACAGGTAAAGGAATAGGTAAGAAAATGTAAAGGAAAAATGAGAACCCAGAAGTGGTTATAGCAGATCATATTTTTCAGAAGCCTACAAGGAATTTTTGCTTACTGAAAAGTCCTAATCATAAGAGGGATCCAGGAAACTAACACCTACTTTTCAGAAAAGGTTGAAGAAAAGATAATCAAGATGCAGAATTAAAATGAGTTAACAAAAAGCTCCTATTCCTAATCTAACATGTACTCTCCACAAACTATTACTTTTAAAAGCAGCTGTCCTAAGTCACAGAATGACTAACATTTCCAACAATACCAAAGTCATTTTTGGTGACTAGTACCATGCCTACATTTGCAATTCCTACTTACACTGAGTGGCCTACTCGAGCTGAGTAGTATCTTACTCAAGTCTGGAAGAGTCAATGGTAACGGAAGTCTGAAATGCACTGTGGTTTACTAATACTGTTTGTCCTGTTAGGAACACTGAAACAGTAATTTTGTTCTCCCAGAAGCATTAGCAGATACTAGAGTGTTTTTCCATGGCCTATTTAGTCACAGGTATAGTGACTAAATTTAAACACATTGTTGTGGTTTAACTACAGTAGGTAGCTAAGCCTCACACAGCCGCTCACTCACTTCCCCCAGAATGGGACGGGAAAAATAACTGAAAGGGTAAAAGTGAGAAAACTCATGAGTTGAGATAAAGTCAGTTTAATAGGTAAAGCAAAAGCTGGGCACACAAGCAAAGCAAAACAAGGACTTCATTCACCACTTCCCATCAGCAGGCAGGTGTTAAGCCATCTCCAGGAAAGCAGGGCTCCATCATGTATAACGGTTACTTGGGAAGACAAACGCCGTCACTCCAAATGTCCCCCCTTCCTCCTTCTTCCCCCAGCTTTTATTGCTGAGCACAACATCATATAGTCTGCAATATCCCTTTGGTCAGTTGGGGTCAGCTGTCCCAGCTGTGTCCCCTCCCAAATTCTTGTGCATCCCCAGCCTCCTCGCTGGTAGGGTGGTATGAGAAACAGAAAAGGGCTTGAGGCTGTGTAAGCACTGCTCAGCAAGAGCAAAAACATCCCTGTGTTATCAGCACTGTTCTGGTCACAAATGCAAAACCACAGTACCATATGAGCTACTATGAAGAAAACTAACTCTATCCCAACCAAAACCAATACATACTTTGTTTTCACAAAACTATTTTAAATATTGTTTTAAAAAGATAGAGAGATATATATACGGTTAAATTGATCCTTCATGAAGGACATTTTCTGTTCCTTAGACATAATAGAGAAATTACTAGAAAATTTATTTCATATTAAGGGCTAATGAGTGGAACACATTGTCAAGGTTAGTTCTTCGAATAAGCTTCAGCAGGAGACCCTGCCATAAAAACCCTAAATGACTTCAAATTCCACATATATCATGACTTTTGGTGGAACAATATAAGAAAAAAAAGAAATCTATAAAAGATAACATATAAGAGCCCTTTGGTGATGTTCAAACCTTTACTGTATTTGAAAGCTGCTTTAAAGAAAAAAAGTTTCTCGTTTTCTGTACTGCTTAACAGCTTTCTTGTGACCAAAAAGACTTCATTCCTAGCTTTCAACAAAGGCTTCTCCTTTTCCACAACTTCCATAATATATTTCTTTATTATATATTTGCCCTACAGCCAGTGTAAACAGAAGAGGCTGCTGTTGAGGACTTAACAGAGGACCAGCTGCCTGGTTTCAAAGAGAAATTTGAGAAAGAGGTGATGGAGCAGCCTAACATGAAGCACTGTGATGCTCTGGTAACAAATATACCACTTACAGGCTAACTTCTCCATCCCCTCTCAATTTCACTGCCTAAATAGTTCAAACATGCTCTAGAAATAGGAAATTTTCCAACAGTGTTTAGCAGACTGTTTCAAACCACCATCTTTTCTTGAGCAGGTGGAAATAAATCAACATCCATTACAAGGCTGCTTTCAATCTTAATTCTGATTAATTTCTTGTTATTGAGCTACAAAATACCTGAACACTTTTGGTGTTTAAATTTACTCTGAAGCTCTTACTTATACAAATAAGATTAAAACAGAAATGAGAATCAATAACTAATGATAAAAGCAATAAAACTGAAAGTACTTACATTAAACTTAATAATATCATATATCAAGTATCGAGGGACAACTTGTCCATTAACCTTGTCGATGATCATTTCCTTAAAAGAAAAGAGATTACATTTACATTTATTTCATGAATATAGAAGAATGTCAACACATTTATACTTAGTGCATGTACCTGTAAGTGTGATGCAATCAAACACTGGCCACATTTTTATTATTAAAAAAGATTTTACAGTAGGTCAAGATTATAAAAATATTATTATGGTCTTAAATGTCTCTCATGAAGCTTTCAATAAGAAGCCAGGAAGCTGTGCTAAGGCTTGACATTCTGATCTGCAACATTTATACGTTAGTTTCCCCACAGCTTTCAAAATCACTACCTTTCTTAAGTGAATAACGAGTTTTAGAAACCTCAGTAAGAACTGCGATCTTAAGTCAAGCAAGTGCTTTTGGAAATCTTGCCTACAATAAGAAGTACAACAGAAAGGAAGTAAAGAACAAGCATTAACATCCATTTTCTACGCTCAGGCTGGATCTTTTCACATTAACAGCATCCTAGGCAGCAGTAACAACTGCAATTTACTTGAATGTTGCATTGTGACTAAACAGTAGGGTCCCTTCAAAAGGAAATATCACAGACCCTATCTGTAGCACGTGAAATTAGTTAACATTCAATACATACTGGTAAACCATCTTGAAAATATGTCAGCTAGAAGAAAGACTATTAATGATCAACATCCAAACACAAAAGTGTTTCCTTAACTTAATGGCACATACAAAAATGTATACATCTTACACGCTGGTGCTTACATCTCTAACTCAGGCTTCCTATGATATGAATTAGACATAGTTTATTAGTTTATCAAACTAAAAAAAATTATTTCATTTCATATAAATTAGTCATGATTGAAAATGGTAACAGTCAACCAATTGGTAGATCTTTTCAGAGACAACTTTGAAATATTCACTTCTCTAAATGCAATCAAGCTTCTCCCTGCCCCTGCCCAATTCTTGGATAAGTTAGTTGTATCAGCTAAGGATTTTTTGCTGCCAATATCAAGTTAAAACTCCAAATTCACACATACAAAATAAAACAATTGGAAAAAGTGAAAAAATTTCACTACAACATGATGAAAACAAAATTGTGAGCTCAAGAATTATACCAAAAGAGAACCTAACATCAAATCAACTTGATTTTTAGTTTGTTTCTTGCTAGGTCAGTAGCATTTTTAACTTTTTAACTTCTCCTAGAATCCATAGCTTCTACAAAGTAAACCCAAACAAGAGTCTCAATATGACTGATTTTCAGTCTGTACACATACCAAGCTTCTTGAATTGTACCTGGTATTTAATCGCATCTGGCTCTGAAAAATAATCAAAGCAGTTGTAGAAACATAGATTTGTTTTAAAGCAAAACACAAAGCTTGAAGCATTTAAAACTAAACTAGAAGACATGAACCTGTTGTTCTCAAAAACCATTGTGAACTAGGAGTTGCCTACTTAATATTTTGGAATCGCATCTTCTGGGAACACAACACCGAGATGGAGATTTGGCCTTCACAGCCAAATGCAGCATTCACAGGTGTTGTGAAAGACTACCAAAGTGACCTTATTCATCTTTCCACTTCATTTAAAAAAAAATAATTAATTCATTGAGTGAAAAATATTCCTTTGTAACATTACAATATCTTATTCTTAAATCTAAAATTAGTCACAGGTACTGTCAAATAACATTTGCAAAAAGTCTACACAGAAGTGATGTAACAAAATGCTATTCTGTTACTTTTCAGTATTTAGGTAAGACACCCGTGAGCTATCAAAGGAAGAAGGGCAGATGCAATGCTGCAATGGCTTCTTTGACAATAAATTTTATAACTAACTGCAAGAACAGATGGAGTAGGTACATCCTAAGAGAGAAAGAAGGTACGATGTTCAAACATGGAAGAGTGTGTAAAGATAAAATGCAGGGCGGGGAAGGGAAAAAAACCTACCCGGAATTCCTGATAGAATCATAGAATCATTGAGGTTGGAATTAGTAATCAGGTCAAAGGAAAAGTAAAACTGAAACAAAAGAATGCTACCATATTTTTTTAAGTTTCAATCGCGTTAGCAGGTAAAACAAATTTTTAAAGTACATTTAATTGAACGTATATTTAATGTTTAAGGACTCATTTGCTCAGCATGCATATTCAGAGCCTCAGCTTTGATGCAAAGCTAGCATTTGTATCCAAAACCCTGAAAACATTTCAGTGCCTGGTATTACAAGATTTTATGCCTAATTTTCAAAATCTGAATCTCTGCATATTCAGTTTAAGAAGAATTAGAAAATACAACCAAGAGGACAGAGAATGATTTTTAAACCTTCTCTGGAATGTTCAGTTTTAACACAGAATTAATTTCATAAAGAATTTTTTTCTCTACTTCAGACATGTATAAATCTTTTTGACTCTATTACAGGTCAAACTAGCTTTTTTCCTCACATCCTCACTTCTTTTCCTCCTCCCCTGCCTCTTGTTCTCTCTTTTCACATCCCGACTGAAATCCCAGCTATGACAACAAATAAACGACAGCACAATATGCCTTAGAAGTAGAGATGACAAATTCTTGTGCTACTCATCTCCATCGTGACAACAACATTCACTGCTCCATTAGTTACGCCAATACAACTGTCATAAGGCAAAAGCTGTAAAGTGATCATAAGAACAACTCAGATTAGAAATACTCTAACATATCATTATTTCACAGTCTGATTTCAGAATCTTCCTTGAAATTATAAGAATTCAAAAATACCTCAGGGAATAGACCTCAAAGGCAAGTTCAGAGACTGTTGGGAAAATATAGTATTTGAGAACTGATCACATTCAAACTCACTCATTCTGATACGAGTAATAACCTGATACTATAAGGCTATATTTAAGCCAATTTTTAGATAACTAAAAACTTAAACCCAAACCCATTCATATGACATGATAATAGAACACAAAAGTATCCGTAAGATGCACCTGCATCCATACTTTTCCCTTCATAGACCCCATGTAGATTTACAGCTGCTATTGTGTGTTTTAAGATTACCACTGCTAGTAAGTATGATCTTTACCACTTTTCCATTAGCTGCTATTTTAGGTATTAGATTAACCTGCTGGCTTGCAGAACAAGGTCTAATGGCCAGTTTCTTCAATGTAATCTGGAAAAACTGTGCTGGTGTCAATCTCCTTTTCTTAATCTTCTGGTACTGCAGAGCATAGTCTTACAGCATATTAAAAACAGCAACTGTGCTAAGAGCTTTTAGCTGGACAAGTACCAAAAGAACAATGCTGGACTGGTAGCTCATGAACTTCTCCCCCCTGCCCCACCTTGAATTGCCTATCTAGCAAGCAACTTGGACTTAAAATAATACAAAATTTAATCACAAAGCAAAGGATCTCATTTTACCAGCCACTTGCAGAATATATTTTCTGTTGACACGGAGTATGGAATCAGATCTAATCACACATCTGTTTATTGTTCCTTTTCCTCCTGTGCCTTGCCTTTCCTTTGTCCATTTACCTTTAACACAATTCTAGTCACTGCTGTATTTCAGGCATGAAAAGAGATTATTTTCTTTTTAATTCTATTTTGTACAAAGTACCAGCCTTTGCAAACTCAAGAAGTTGCAAGCTATGCCATTTCTGAGAGAGCTTACAAATAAGTGAGGTCTGTACTGATGCAAAAACATAAAACAATCTCAATCTCACTCTCCACTTTTGGAGTCCTTGGCCTTCCTAAGACTTCCAGTGTGAACAATATTTTATATATAAATAAAATATATACAAAACTGTATTAAATTGTAAAAAGTATTTCAAGCCTAAGAATGTCTCTACATTTTGTACTCAACTGTTCCAAAGCTAAACAAAATGCCAAGAAAGTTTCCGAAAATAACTAATTAGTCTTCTTGCATGACAACCGAAACACTTCAACAAAAATCTATGTACTCCCTCAGATAGCAGTATGCATGCAAAACACTTGGCTTCTAAAGGAATACTTCATATTATACTAGTCACCTGTAGGTAAGATTCAAATTAGCTTTAATGAGCTTTGCAGAAAACTTTCTTCCATGCTAGGACAACAATCACAACTGAAGAGCTGGAGATGAGGATAGAGTATTGCAGGAGATTTCTCATCACCCAAGATATAACTGATCATATCATAGTAAGAACTGTTTGCGAGTAATTTCAGCCTGAAGTGAATTGTAAACGCATTTGAAATTCTCAAAGACAACCACATGAAAGGCTTACACCAGAAGCCTTAAAGCAAGTTAATAGATCACTGAATTCATGGAAATTGCCTTTATGAAAGTTTTATATACACTGTCATTCTAAATGAAGTTAGGAGAAATTACCTATCTTTTGTATTCTTAACACCAGTAGTTGCTGTGCTGCATGGCACTGATATCTCTGTTTTGTCTTTCTTTCTCATACTTTTTAAGATTACTGTAAAGCAATGCCAATTGGGCCACCTCATTCTACACTTTCATTCTCTGAATGAGAGAAAGCTACTTCAAGGGCAGTAAGTATGAACTACTTCAACCTGTAATTAAAGAATTAACTTCAGCCCTTCAGCAGTAATTAGCAAAAAATGTTAACACAAAAGAGCCAAATTTTTCTTCCCATGGATTAAAAAAGAAAAAGGAAATCATGCATATATCCAGAGTAAAGGAACCATCATGGAAATTATCATTTGGCACCAACATTAAACAAATATTCAATTACAAAATTAAGCTGTTCTGATGCTTCAAAATAATAGGCAAATTTTATTCTCAAACCTGTTGAAAAGAATTTCAGTTGCAAAGTATTCCATCAACAGCTTTTTTTTTTTTAACTGACCATACTAAAATAAATTTAGAAATCTGTACTATGTAAAGTATTTATCCATTGAAAGGTTTTGGTTTTATCTCAAGGTACTTCATTCAACCAATACTTGTTCATTTCATGTCATTTTGCTTTCAACTTCATGAAAGAACTGGGGGAAGGGGAATCACAGTAAGACTAATTTTATGCCAATAAAGTGAAATACTGAAATGCACTATAAAAGTCAAAATTTTACAAAGCAACAAATTAAGTGAACTTATAGTTCCTGTCCTGGGTATCTCGGGGAACTTAATTTATTCTTAAGAGACCTAAACTATAAATCTGGGAAACGCACCAGATCAGAGCCCCTCTCTCGCGCCCCACAGCCACATCTATACACATATCTCAATCTATGTGCATCCCTATCTTCCACCATGTACATATTAGCCACCCTAACCCATCTGTTTTGAAGTGCAAAAAAACCAAGCAGCAGTTTCCCTGAAGAACACCTAGGATTGTACCATATGGACACTGGCAAGCCATTACTTTCTCAAGAGCCTTAGAAAGAGCAGGGAATAAAAAAATATTACCAGACTTTTTATCTCAACAGTATGGAACCTAATGTATGTTGTTAAGAATATTATTACGTACGTCATTAGGAAGCTGCCTGGCTGAAGAGGCTCCTACCAGACATGAAAGCTTGTGCAACCACTTTTGAGCTGACAGCATGGCACTTCTTGAATTATGCTCTCAATTTTTCAGTGAAGCAGAGGTGGTGGAAAATATTCCATTATCTGCCTCTCTGTCCCCGAGACAGTACATTGTTCCTTGCAATACTTACGCTCACAGATTCAATTTATACATGCTTCACATGCAAATGTGTGTTCAGTAAGACACATCATTCACAGAAGTGACATTTCAAGAAAGATACTGACAACAAAGGCCTGAGAAAGTTAACAATGACAATATGGTCTCCTGTATCTGAAAAGTCCATTAGGATTCAGAACACCAATATGGAAGATCATCTCAGATACTCAGTACTTCAGCAAGCAAGAGTTACAGCAATATAGAGAGCCTCCAATGCTACTGAAATGTGACAGGAAACTGCATTCATCTTCATTGACAGATATTTAGTGTAAGAGGTAATGAAGTTCTTTGGCTCATGTAAAATAGGAAGGTCAAGAAATTAATAACCTCTTCTTGTGGCTACTGTTCTGAAAAGTTTACCAAAAATACTCCAGGCCAGCCTTCAAACAACAAATACAGATGTTTTACAGCTTGTTTTACAACTAGCTTAAAAAGTTAATCAGCAAGATTAAATAAATTAAATTAGCATGACAACTTAGAAGTGTTTTAAACAAATGTAACTAAGCTATTTCTAAATCAGTCAACAATTCAGATCAGCTGAAAATAAAGGCTACAGAAGCAAAGACATCAATTCATGAGTCTATCAAAAGATGATAAAAATTTTATCAAATTCTAGAAATATTTACATTAACTGGATCATATTGACCATGTTTACTGTATCAAAATATAAAGCTATAACAAGAGATGAGGTTTTGCAATAATTTCTTTAGATTCTCTTCAAGCCTCTTCTCATATTTAGAGAATGTCATGTCAATAGCTTGGTTTATTTCAAAGACAAACAGCTCCCCCCAGAGCAGTCATCACTGCTGTTCTGTAGATAAGAATGACTTATGAAGTGTGATTCCCATATTCAGACAGTGATTGAATCTGTATTACTCCTGAAATCCCATCATTCACTGATCCAGGCCTAAAAACTTGTCCCTGTTTCTGAACAAAAGCAAATGGCACTGAAATTATTACAATAATTACACAGTACGCTTCTTACCCCATCCAGAAGAGTGTTTGTTAGATGTGTGCGAAGATCTTTACGAAAAGGAAATTCCAGATTAGATACATGAAAAACTGAATTATCTCTATCAATCATATAAACTTCATTCTTGCCATCAATCAGCATCATGTACCTGCAAAGGCAATGTTAAGATATTATACTTAAAGGTATATCCTCTAATCTCTACTATTCTGATTTATATTAAATGCAAAAAAAAGCAATCATGACAGATGTTATAAAAAAGCATTTTAGAAGGAAATTTTTACAGTTAAAAGTTTAAACCTATAGCTTCAGGAAAGCAGATAATTTAGTTCAATGCAATTATCACAAAGAAAATATTTCAAAGATAAAAGTTCAGAATATTTTTATATATATATAAGCAAGTTGCTATATCCAGATAAAATGGTGCCTGAAAATCTATTAAAAATAACACAAGTTTTAATGCTGTAAGAAATACAGGTGACTAATTCAGTTAGATTCAGCTAAAAGATCTTTTATTCCAGTTTTTCCTCTATTATGTGGACCAGAACTTTACCTGATATAGAACTGCAGTTTCATTCAAAAGAAACACCCTTCCTGTCTTATCGCTGGTTATCTAACACTGCAGTATTGCAAAGTCCCAGCCAACTATTGAGCCACTTTTCATTAAAACACTGACAAATTTAGCCAAGGTACATTCCCCTCACATTACACACACAGAAAACCCCAAAGCTTACTACACTACCACCAGCAACTTGTGAGCTTGGTTCAGTTGCAGACATCTGAATTTTCTAAAAATTTCTTTAAATTACAACAGTACTTGGGAGACCAAGTCATTAATTTAGACCTCTCTGTGCTAATCCTACAGAAGACCGCTCTATAGAGGTAACATTCTATACACAAGAAAAAACAGTGAATGAGTAGAAAGGAGTAGTGAAAAAGGACAAAACCCACAAGTGACGCTAAACAGCATGATAGCTGTAACACACCTGAGTTACCTTTGTAAAGTTTTCTTTGATCTTTGCAATAAGAGTACTAAAGTAGAATTTCAGGAAAAATAATAAGGCAGCTTGCGCAGACAAAGTCTTCTCAAACTTGTGCAGTAGCCGAGGAGAGCACACCTTCTGACTGGGGAAAATAAACTGAACCAATTTCGGTGGAAGCTAGTGTCAAAGGCCAGATGCAGCAAGTCAACATCTTGGCCGTGAATGAGAATTAATAATGGTGCTGAGCATATACCACAAGCAGCTGAAAGTGGAGACTAGCAGCTTGAATCTGACACAGTAAAGGAAGAAAGAAACTGTTGCGGGGCTCAGAAGGTTGGCAAAGCAAAAAAGACCAGAAAAGTGCCTTTTTGGAACCAACAAGATGTGATTGCACTTAGTAAGACTGGCAAAAAGAACAATATAGTTATCAAGATGTGAGCGAATGATCAGACAGGAAACACCATGGCTTAACAGCAGTGCAAATAATAAGCATATGAGACAAAGCTGACATGAAGACTCAAAAGTAAGTCCAAGTTCTGTGTCTCAGTCAAACCTGAGTTATGTCGGTTTTACTAATTACTACCTGAGCTGCTGTCATTGAATTTGTGCCTTATCATGCCATAACTAACGGTGTTGGTGGTCTACACCAAAACTGAGACCATGACCCTAAGCTAAGCTTTCTTTCACTGATCCTCCCATTTCACCTTGCACACAGACGTGCTAAAAGCACAAGTGTTACTACAGAAGTTCTACTGAGAAAAGTCAAAAACACAGAAACCCCAAAAGAGAAGAAAATAGGAGCACTATCAACTGTCAAGATAGTTCAATGATTCTAAGAGTTCACAACATTTAATGTTCTTGAATAGCCTCTGATATAAATAGGAAAGGGATATAAATCTTCCCAGAGCAACTAACACATTTGGATTGCAGTACAGTTTCTTTGATGGCACAGAATAGGGAAACACTCAATTAAAAGATTATAGGAATTTCACCATCCACACCAGAATATTTTGAAAGCAAGCAAGCAAGCATATTTTCAAGACTCATTCACCAAAGATCTTTTCATACTTGTAAAAATCTTTGGATACGTGTAAGGGGGGGAAGACAGTACTTCTCATAATTCATCCATTTCTCCTTGGAAAGTCCTGGTTATGAAGAAATAACAAGCTATCAGTAGTCTTTTCTAAAATTCACCATTGCTCTTACAAGTAATGCCCACAGGATCTCTGCTGTCAAAACAGAGCAGCAAGAATCCCCCAGAAACCCTGCAGGCAAATGGTCTACACAGGCAGCTGTCCTGTTGTCTGCACAGATCCTGCCTCTAGAAAACAGTAGATCTGACTACAGGAGCACAGTATCACCCATGCACCTTAAATAAATATTTTCAGCATTTTGAACATAATCATAATTCAGTGTAGATCAGCTCAACTAGTGTTTCTCCACAAACAGTATGAGTACTTCAAGATGTTACATATCAGTTGAAAAAAAAAAAAAAAAAAGACATACATGAGCAGAAAACCTCAAGTCAGGGTGGGAGGAGTAGATTAAATCAATGCAAGATTAGGAGAACTGAAAGCTGCATGTGAGATGGTTTATGAAAAAAATTAATTCAATATACATTCAACTAGATAAATTGGAGCCAGTTCTTCAGAATCAAGACTAATATACAGACAACATTCATTTTTCACACCATGTAAATCTATTCAAAACTAAAACTAATTATAAAGAGCATGTTGTGTTTTTCTCAAAAATTAAAGAAATAATGAGAAGAAGAGGTGTGTAAGTAACAGAAAAAAAAAATACGTGCACTACTTTAATTTTATAAATAACCTTAATTGTCCATCTCTGCACTCCCATATTCACTGCTGTTTTAACTACATGCTTTCTTGTAACTTGCTTCAATGACAAAATAGCACCTAATGCTTCAAGAGATCTAGCACTTGGGAAAAAAAAAAAACCAAAAAAATATTTGCATCATCATTACAAATGTGGTACAATAAGAGATCCTACAACTGCTTTAAAAAAAAAAAAAAACAACCACAAACAGCTAAAAGCTTTGTTTTCAGCCACCTAAAACATCTACAGGTTCAGACAACATACAGAAGATTTCATCAAAATCTATTACTTGACATCAAAACTAAGACTAACACAACACCACTTTCTCTAGAACTTTCATTCAAAACAAAATCTATGGAAATTTACTTAAGAGTTGGTACCTGGATAGCCCACCAACCACTAGTGGTGAGATTTCCTCCTCCTCTTTCAAACCACCGCACTAATGTTACATCTCTTCTCCCATGATTTCTCTCTTTCTAAAATTTGTCACTGTTAGCTGTTTATACCACAAGTTCTAAATGACAGGGACAATGGCAAGTCTTATGACTGCATGCAAAAGATTTCCAGTCAAAGTTCACCAGGAATCACAATTATATCTTACTTAAGAGAGCTGCTGAGAAACACCATGTGCTTACTTTGAAGACAATAAATAAATAAATAAATTTGGTCTCAGGACAATAAATTACCTTGATGTAGACTTATCTGTCATGGGTCTCATGATAATATACTTGCCTAACTTAGAAGCTGAACAAGCTCTCTGCATGAGAAAGACATTAGCCTGACCCAGATATGTCTGTTTTGAAAGGGTTTTGTTTGTTTGGGTTTTTTAAGCTGAAAGCCTGAAAACACCTCCACCCCCAATTTAATAAACTATTGAAAAAAAAAAAAACCTCTGAATGTGGTCCAAACAACAGAATTTGTCAAAATTCTAATTATTACCAACGTAAGACAGAAGAAATTTAGTCAAGGATGGAGTGACAACCAGAAGTGTTCTACGAGCAGCTGATAACTGAAAATGTGCAAGAAGCAAAAGAGATATGCAACCATACCAAGTTTTTGGTGAAACTGAATTTATTAATTAATGAGGGGTTTTGGTTGGGTGGGTGGATTTTTTTGTTTGTTTGCTTGTTTAACTCAAAAAGCGTAAGTTCATGTGCTTAATATAAGGCTTTAAGTGTTCTCCGACAACACTTCAAGCTTTCTTGGAGAAATCTTGTAGACTGCTGATCAGTCTATTTCTGAATATTATTTGGATGTGTTCTGACCAGTTATATTTTAAGAAGTTAATTAAGGTATTAGCAGCATTAAGCACTTACACCAAAATAGAGAGAATGCCTCTGGGCAGCACTGCATAGGTAAAGAAAGATGATGATTTCTCAAATACATTCAACAGGAACTAAAACAGCACGTAGGAGCTTAACTATCATGCATTGTATTGCATATTGTGAACACTACTTGCTATTAGAGCTGTACATTTATTACATTTGTTATCTTCATTGTGTGAGCACCCAAAAGCTCCAATTTGTAACCAGGCCCCATTGTATTAGATTCTGTGCAAGTACACAAGATGACATGGTCCTGTATCAGATGGCTCAATCTGAATTTAAAACAAGACAAGTGAATAAAAGAGCAAGATTGGAGCAGCAATAAGAGCAGTAACAGAACTGCTCATTCACCTTTGATAACTATACACAAAAGCGGAGACTCGTGTTTTGGCGACAAACATCATCATCTCTGCAAACTGTCAATCCAACCACTATAGAACAGCCAGTTTCCATTGCAACAAAAGTTCCGACAAGCGAGTTAAAGAAAAAAGGGTCACGGTGTCCACACAGATTAATCTCACAAGCAGATAAAATATCTAGTCATAGAAATGTTAAAATCTAAAGTTTCATTAGAAGCTACTTTTCATTCGCTTCTGGTCCCGAGGCAAGGACTGTTATTAATTCTAATTGGACATTAGTATTAACACAATAATTCAGGAAACAGGATGAAAATTTCATTAGCAAAGAGTTACAGCTCTTGGCATTAGACAAGCAGATCTCCAAATCACCTACCAGAGTATTAATAACTTTAATCTTTAAACTTTAAAAAATGTTAACCACCAAATATCATCTTGAAAAGTTTTCTCTTCAGAAACCAATTATTTTTAGCATACCCAAATAAAGGCAACTGTTTCAAAGGCTCATTTGCCTCCACATATATCCTGTTCATGCAGTCTACATCAGTTGGGCCCAAAATACATGCAAGAAGAATGATTTTATTAAACTTCCATTTTTATTTTAGCTTGTTTGGTGGTGGTGGTGGTTTGGTGGTGGTTTTTTACGCAGTT